GCAACTATCACATATTAACATCTCAACATGCTTCATAAAGACATTGGAGACCGCCGAGCAAGGGAATTTAAGACTGTTGGCCAAAGGTATGGTCAAAGATAAATTCTCTTTATCTTTAAACCCAGCAGAGATGCGCAGATTAGAGGTTTTCCAGTGAATGACATTGACTTGCTGAACGGCGTTCTTTGGTATACGAGTTTGTGCATAAATACCAACATTTGCCTTAACATAAGTGCTCTGAGATGCTGAAGAGTGCTATATAAATGCAAGTTGTTGACGACATAGTTAGCATTGATACTGATGCTCACTATCAGAGCAGCAAGATAGAGATTCAAGTCTTCAATTTGCTCATTTCAGCCTTACCGTTGGGGAGCATTACCAAGCAGAAGACATACCAATCTCTTGGAGAAGTGTGAGAAATGGAGGAGCTGGTTAACCTTTACAGTGCTGGACCCATCCACATCAGATACAAAATCACAAATTGAAACGGGAGCTTTTCCAAAATGCTTTCCTCCAATGAGCAGCACTTGCAATTCCTGATTACTTTAGTGACATAGATGGTGACAGAGAGGTTTGTCTTAAGTCTCTGTGCAGCTCGAAAGATCAATAAGGAAGTACAGAAGCTTATTTAGTGCTGAACAGGGAATCAGAAGAAAGCACAAAAGGGAAAGAAATGATAGGAAAATAACTGCATTGTGCTCTTCTTGGAAAGCCAGGAGAAGAGAGAATATTAAATGCTCAGTAGCAGTTACTGGACACCCAAAAGGTCAAATACAGTTCTTGGAAGCAAACATATTGATTGTTCTTTACAATCAACTGGTATGTATTGAGCAACGAGGAGAGAGAACATTTTTGTAAGCCTCTCAAAATGGTCCCATACTTACCTGAACCTTCAGGAACTTTTATACTCAGGCCATGTTTGCTAGGAGAGGCAATTCAAAGGCAACTTCATTCATAAAACTGGGTGCCAGACACTTCAAAAGGCTTTTTTGGGCATTATGTGTCGAAGTGATCCACTGTGACCCCATTATGCAGTCTGCATGAGCTCTAATCTGGCCATTGATGTATGAATGCTTTGGGAGGGCTGTATAAGTATGTTGGGTGACACAGGGTCAAGCAAGTGGAACATACACCAGCCTCTGTTCTACAGAGATGCAGCTGCCTCCTGTCAGCATGAACCGATTCACACAAGCACAAAGAAATAACTTTGGCATCTAAAGAATGCTCTAAACTGCTATTCTGCAGATACCACTATAAATTGATATACCTACCTACCTACCGCTACAAACTCTCAGTAACATCATAGGTTTCAAGTGTTTCTGCACAATTCCCTCTCAAATGGATTGCTAACATGCAATTTTCTAAGGCATGTGGGGGGGTGGGGGCAAGGGAATTTGCAGTGTGTGAAGTGAATTCAGGCAATTACCCCTCCCCCCACCCCATCCTGCTCCGCCAAGCAGAGTGTGGAATTGGGAAACTGGAGCTTTAGACTTGTGAGAAAGATAGATGGTTACACAATGACCAAATTCTTGGGCAAATCTATACACCTTGAGTTCACCTAAAGGTTATCGAAGTGCAAACACTCTAGGACATTTGGACCCAGTATCTCAGAGCTTCATTAAGTTCAGGAATATTTAACTGGCGAGTAGAAATTCCAATCAGCTCCTGGTCAAATATTAGTGGAGGTGATGCAGGCCAATGATACCTACCTAATCCCTCAGGGGAAAAAAAATTAAAACCTTGTATTACAGCATTGCACAATTTCAAACCTACCGTGGGCTTTCAGTGAACTCAAAACCTGAGCAATCTGCAATAAAAACATAGGAAAAGGAGCAGACACCACTAAGCCTGTTACACCAGTTGATAGATCATGGCTGGTCTCCAACTTCATACCATCTCCCTGTCCCTTTACACCCCTGCCTACCAAACAGTCACCTAACTCTCTCAAGTATTTCTACTGATCTGACATCTACTACAACAATAACATGCATTTATATAGCAACCTTCACACGGAGAAGCATCACAGACCACTATACAACCTACTGGGCTAGTGAATTGCACCTTTTGCGGGCAATGATTTCCAACACCCTTTGTGTAAAAAAATGTTTTCTGATTACACTTTCTTAGTGTGTTACAAAGCATGTTACACCTGGTGGCCGCGCTGGCTGACTATGGTGCTGTAGTATCGTGCGTCACCGAGCACCTACGTATGTACGCACGTACTGCAGTTACACCTGGTGGCCGTGGCAGCTGACCGTGGCGCTGTAGCATCCTACATCACAGAGCATGCACCGTAGCCAAGTGGCAGTGGGAACAAAATAAAGAACACAGATGAAGCTAAGCCGCGGCAACAACAAAATTAAATTTTTAAAGCGCTTTTCACATCGGGAGGATGTCCAAGTGATTACAACTTATACATTTACATTTATCATTATAAAGATGTCTAAGCGAAAATCAAACCTTTCAAGGATAAGTAAAAATGCAAGACAAAAGAGAGAAGACCATTAAATGAAACTGAAGAACAAAGTCCTCCCACAGGAGTCCTCCCAGATGAGTATAGATGAAGATGAAATGTGTATCAATCTACATTCTATATTGGATCCTTTGGTTGCAAGCATAGTTGCACAGGGTTCAGCTCGTATATTGTAAAGTGAATGGACTGTATATTTTTGTGGGTGAAATGCAGCAGCCAATTTGTTCACACAGTAGTGTCCCACCAACAGTAGTGGATTTGTGACTAAATTTTTTTAAAAAAATTTAAGAGCTTATTACCCCCGGTAAAGCTATCCGCCTACCGACTAAATGCCAAGTTCCTACTTACTGATAGGTAAAGAGGCATGTGGAGTAAGGAAACTTGCCTAAGTTTTTGCCCTGTCCGGGAATTGAACTTGGGTCCCCTCGCTTACGAGGCATGTGCTCTAACCAATAAGCTACAGTACTCCAAGTTATTTAAGATTAATGATACAATCTTGAAATTTATAACACATAAATAGTCTCCAATATTCTTCCTCCAGACTAAAAGCCATATAGTGTTCAGCCTCAGAGGTACCATCTATTTAGCAATCTTTAGGGTCGACCTGAACAAGCATCTGTTCCTGCCACTTTAGTTACCACTGTCCCTAGTAACCTGCTCCAGTCCCAGCCAACGGAAACTCAATGTTTATCAAACCTACTGGAATGCAAGAGCAATACAAATTCTTGTTCTGTAATCATTAATGTAACCTTTTTGAACACAAATAAAGCCTTCCTTTATGCAGTCACCAGCCAGAACAAGCAGAGTGCTAGATCAGTGTTTACAAAACACTGCCCACAAACCAAAGGCCCATAGGCCCTTATTTGTTCCTCTAGTTCTGCCAAGTATGTAAGGAGATGGAGTTTCCAAAGTCAAAAGACTGACAGGTATGAAAGTCCAGCATTCTTTAAAATCCTGACACCTCACTGAAGCCGGGTGTCAGGAAAGTGGAGAGGCCTCTGTGCAATTCTCATTGTGCATGATGGAAAAGCAAATCTTTGTTAAATTTAGCTCAGCTGATAGTACTCTCGGGTTAGAGCTGTGGATTCAAGCTACATTATCATTGGTGCCGTTTTACAAGCAAGAGGCCATGAAACTATTCAAGAACAAGAGTTTTTATGGGCAATAATTACTCTACAGCACTTTGAGATATTGATATGATAATGTTCTACATTGAAAAGACTGCAGAAGTAGTCCTCCAAATTTCTTCTCTTCTCCCCCACCCCACGACCAAGGGACAGTCTGCATTAAGGGTGTTCAAACAATAAAACCAACGAAACAAAATACAACACTATTTCCTGAAAGGAAGGTTGTATTTAACAGGTTAATTGAAATTTAAGAATGGATTACATTTGTGGACAAAGGAAACTATTGACACACTATATGCTTCCGCAAAGCATTTGGCAAAGTTCGTCTGGGCTCACCATCATTCAGACAGAGCAAAAGTGCAATTATCTCCAGAGTTTATTGAAGGTTCCCTGAAAATTGTCTGGGGAACTACTCTGTGTTCATTACTTCAGACAATAGTACATCAAAAATTCACTTTCACTGCTGTCAGCAGAGCTGAATATATTGTAGTAGAACAATAGAAGTGTTGTTGCTTCACATGTTCAGTGAGACTAAGGTTACCTGGGTGCACGTTTACCCCAGTGTCATTCTTCCCATTTGAAGAGTTTTCTGCTTGTCTCCACAAGCTTTGTGCATCAACACAATAGATCTATGGCAGATACCTGTCTACTGAGTCCTTTGCAAGCAGCCAGATAAGAGGCCACTGGACCCAGCCTCACTCTTCTCTGCCCATTCCACCTGCTATGCCTATGTTCACCCACATAATAGTCACTCACTGTACATCCTTTGCAGTGAAGTGTATACAACATCTCCGAGACTTCCTCCCGATGTAAAATACACTATATCAAATCTAAGGGTTATTATGAATTATTATTGTTTTGCTCAGTGGGAAATCTCCAGATTTCTAAAGGAGGAAAAATTATCCTTGCAAACCAGCATTTCACTGCCAACCTCCCTCCTCTTACAACCACAATGTCTTTCACGTCCAGCTTTCTGCTGCTTTTCAGGTGAGTCAATAAATGATCCCGTCTGATCTCATTTTTCCATTAAGTATCTCTGAACTCAGCAGAGATTGTGGGAATGAATGAGAGAGAGTGAAGAGAAAGAAAATGAGAGCAGCAGAGAGAGAGAAAAACAGCATGAGAAAAAAAAAGCAAACTAGAATCGCACCCCCACCCGCCACACAAGAATTTAACCGTGTTTATTTGTTACAATTCACCACACAACAGGCTCATAAGCAGTTTGTACTTCAATGCCTTCCCTTCAGATCTGTTTTCCACAGTGAGGTTCAGGACCTATTCCAATTACTGGAATAATGAGGCTGCAACTTTATGAAGTACACACTCAAACTATCTGGGACAATACCAGCACTGTATTGCTATCTAACACTATTGCTTTACACCCAAATACAGAGACTTACCTGCCCATGTGTGGATGCTTCAATACCCAGAGTAACTGCCATTCAGAGTCTAGCATTCAATACCATTCCCACAAGAGATGCAGTGCCAGCCCTGCAACCTTGAGGCATTAATCTTTTGTTTTCAATTAGAAAATAGAAAGTGTCAAAGAAGTCGAGACGTAGCAATATTTTTGTTCAGTAGGCAAACACAGCAGGCGTTTTGTGAGCAGCAAAGACCCACACATAAAAAGGAGGTGAATGATCAATTTATATGGAGGACTATTGGCCATGAAAACAGGAAAAATTCCATTCCCTTTTTCAATGACGTCTACATGAACCTGAACAGTCAGATTAGATCTTGGCTTAAAGTCTCATTTGAATGAGGACAGTGCTGCATTCCGTCAGTATTGCACTGGAGAGCCAGCATAGATGCTTTGCTCGAAATCAATATAGGGCTTGACCCCACAATCTTTTAAGCACAAGCCAGACCATTTGGTTACTTGTTTGGAGGCAACGCTGGATGGAGTTTTTCCATTTATAAACTCTCGTTTTTCTGTTTAACAGTATTTGTCAGAGTCACGTCACCAAGTGAAATGCTCCCCGATGGCATATTCTACCTTAACAGGAGAGTGAAAGGTAATACACCAATACAGTCCAACGCAGATTATCTGCACTAATTTGGACTGGCTGCATTACAGACAACCAGCCAGTGTGAATAATTGGACATCACACATAATACAAATTACCTACAGTGCTACTTAATAACATGTTATTAACATGCTACATGTTGGTGTCCTGTAGCTCAGTGGTTAGAGCACTCGCTTTGCAAGCGAGAGACTTGAGTTCAATTCCAGGCAGAGGGCGAACCCTTGGGCAAGTTTCCTTACTCCACACACCTAATAATAATCCCTCCAAAAACAATAATAAATTTGTCATTTTCAATCTACGACTGTTTGTGGGACATTGCTGTGCGCAATTGGCTGCCGCGTTCGCCCACAAATATACAGTCAATTCACTTTACAGTGTGTTCTGTGAAGCGCTTTGGGATGTCGAGAAGACGTGAAAAGTGCTATATCAAATGCAAGGATTATTATTATTATTATTATGTTCCATTAGGAACTATAGTGTATAGCTATAGTAGTACCACTGCCAGATCGTCTGTCTTGTCTTTCTCTCGCTCTACCACAATCAACTCTCTTTCTCTGGGTCTCTCTCTTTCTGACTCTAACCCTACAATATGTAAAAGTATAAAGAGCAAGTAGTGCTGAGAGAAAAAAATCCCTGCAGGTGTTAAATTGCGTGTAAGGATGCTAAGGATCTGATTTACATAGCAACCGTACTGCCCAGCATCCACTTCACAGCCACATGAGGATAAATAGACATACAGGTAATTGGTATGCAGGTAACCAGCTTTCGTCCCAGACCTTTCTTCTGCTCCTTGTACAAGTTAACCTGAATATAAATTAGCACGGATAGGAAAGTCGGATTAGAACGAGGTCTAAACCCACACAGAGGGGGAATAATACAAACCTTTGCACTTGATACAGTGCCTGTCAAAACATCTAAAAGCTTCGCAGGTAATTGCTGTTGACTGTGTATTTGGAGACAATCACAGCAGACAATTTGTGCGCAAGGTCCCACAAACAGCCAAGAAATGAATGACCAATTTATCGGGAGGATTGCTGACCAGAAAGAGGAAAAAGAGGAAGAGTGTGGGAAGGTACATCTTACTAGCTTTGGTGTGTGGATCATGGAGCTCAGCAGAATTGACTTCAACTTGCTGGAGTCCTCTCTGCCCTGACGCCCCTTGCTTGAATGAACAGGATGCTCCGCTGTGGTACAAAAAGGCTGCAGGCTCACATCTCATGGTCACTCCCTCTTAAAGTTCACTTTGACTGGATAGGTTTGGATGCATATAAGTTATCCAAAGCAGAAAATTCCCATTACAGCTGCACTAGTTTCCTGTGTTTACAATACACGGTTGTTAAGGTGAAGGTGTCAGCCTGGTCTCAGTTGGTAGTGCTCTTTCCTCCAAGTCAGAATGTTGTGGGTTCAAGCACCACATCGGGACTTTGAACTTATATCACCTAGGCTGATACTCCAATGCAGTGTATGATGTAGGTTCATCTTTCGGGTGAGACATTAAATTGAGGCCACGTCTCCACGTCCAGGCAGATGTTAGAAATCTCACGGTGCTAATCAACAAGAGAAGGGAGTTTCTCCTGATGTCCTAGCCAACAATTCCTCAAATAAAATTAGACATTAATTTCATGCCTGTTTATTGGGACACTGCTGTGCACAAATTGCTTGCATAATAGTAGATAATAATAGATAGATATAATAATAATAATAATAATAATAGATATAATTTTAATTATAAAATATACAGAAACTGCACATTATAGTATATCCTGTGAAACACTTTGAGAGAGCCCCTCATCATGAAAGGATTATTAAAGGTGTAGCCTAAAATCCTATAAGGAAAAATACTGTATGAGGAGATCCCATCTTTTTTCATTGGGGCAGAGGGGGAAAGGGAGGCTCCATTGCATATCATTCCTCTCATTAACATTCCCGTTTCACCCTCTTGTTTGTGTGTAGGTTCATCAGCAGCAGTTTGCCAAGAGTAGCCCAACTCACCCTGTCACGTGAATGTTGTGACTGGCAAGGCATCTGCATAAACACTGTATTGCTTACAGGTGCATTAATTTTGTAGCAACCTCAAAGCCCAATACCCTTCACAATGTACCAAAGCCATATAATTTTCATTGAGAATTTATGAATCTTATTGATTTTCCCCTCCACCCACATGCACCTCCATTAAACAATGGGCTCTAACTCGAGGAAGCACCAAGACACATGTGGGAGAGCTGCCTTGTATCAATGAAACTCTTTTATCAAGCTTTTCTTGAAAAAGAATAGAGAAACGATTGAATTGTGCCTCAGGCTCTCATTTCTTTGCTGGTTTAATAATACATCGCAAACACAAAGCATTGCCATTCCTTTCTGGCAATGTACTTTAGCTTCTATAAAGACCAGGCCCTTCCCCCACTTCCACCACTCTCCCACAAGGCTGCAACCCTATGATCTATTACATAGGAATTTCCATGTGTAGGTGGGTTGCATGGAACTCTGTTCGGTTTGGATATTCTTAAGCATGGAGATGGGTTTCCGCATGTGTCAGACATACGGCTGACCAAAAATAAATATTTTTCGGGGGGGAGGGGGTGGGGGGGGAGGGGGTGGGGGGGGGTGCGGAGGAGAGAGCAGGCATTGGTCACTCTGCAGTTTACATACAGTTCAGCATCCCAACTTTAGCTTGATTATAATTTTTGTGAAATAATATAAAACCCTCGAGTTGCCAGGAACAGGCCCGGAGATAGGCCAACCCCACACCCCCCACACTTGCTTATCTGATTTGTAAAAAAAATTGTCCGACTAACAGCAGTAGAGACTCTTTAACAGTAAGAGAGCAACGACAGCAAGGACAACTTTGTCTTGTCCTTTCCTCCTCAGGCCTTCCCTCCCCCATCTGTAACTTTGCCATTATTAACACATGTATGGCCTTCAATCCTGCCCTATTCAGCTATATTGAGTTCCTGCACTAAATGCCTTGGCCCTTCACCAAAGCTTCTCAGTGATATTTTAAAATCAAAAAATGATAATTATTCTGTGTTGTTGGGAATGTACAAATACATTTTTCTCCCAGTCTAGCCATGCTAAGTAAGACATACTATCCGCATACCCAGACAGGGCTTGGAGAGAAAATGGTGGAACAGTGTTTATGACAACTTGCACTTATGTAGTGCCCTCCATGCAGGGTAGCATCTCAGAGTGCTTAACAGTGGCAGAGCCTGACTCCGAGCTGGGGGGCTGGAGGGGAGGTGGCCGTAAGCATGGTCGAAGAGGAAGGTCTTCAGGCAGGAAAAAGGTGAGAGAGGAGGCAAGGTGGAGGGATTGAGGGAGAGTATTCTGGAGTCTTGGGCATAATGGGTGAAAGTGCGACCTCCGATGGTGGGGAATATTTTACCAACAACAATGACAACAAAAATTGCATTTATATGGTCAGGAGGAAACCCCACACTGAGAGTTGAGCTCATAGACGAGACTGACACTCACACTCTTGTGCAGTACATGGAGAGCTCTGACACTCTAGTCCAGTACTGGGGGAGCCCTGCATTGTCACAGGAGCCATCTTGCTGACGAGATATTAACCCAAGTCCCTTCTGGCAGTTCAGATGGATGCTAAAGATCGCATGCACTTTTAGAAAACAGAACTTTCTTCCTGTGCCTTGGCCAATAATTCTACAGATAAGTTGGTCATTCAATTCATAGCCGTTTGTGAGACATTGCTGTGTGCAAATTGGATGCTAAAACATATAGTTACTACACTTGACAGCACTTAACTGAGAAGTGCTTGGAAATTTTCGATCTCATAAGTGTAATATAAAATGCAAGGATTATTGTTGTTCCTGTTGTGGTTGAGTTCAGAGGGTAGAACCCACAGTAGCAAGAGAACAAATCAAATTAAAAAGATTGCTCCCATTCTTATTTGACCTTGAATTGGACCATGCCCGACAACAGTGCCTTCGGAGATCCCATATGTAACTGGATTAATACACTCAGGCCCACAATAACTGGGAAAGCAGAAGTAGGGCAGAGTCACTCCATGTGCCTGATATCACTTAAGCTGCAGCAGAGCCAGGCAGATTGTAAATGGGACAAGCATGTACTCCAGTGCTGTGCCAGAGGTGGCTACTAAATGACGCAGGAGTCTTTCCACCTTCCAAGGCCCTTGTCAGTAAAACTGTTGCATATTACTTTAAGGCTAAATGGGCAATTGACCAATGAGAAGCAAACAGGAAGCATAAAAGGATTCTGGGAAAGGGACTTGCTGGAGGGCTGATCAGAGATGAAGTGGATGGTTTAAATAGAGGAGCTATTGAATCTAAACTGTTGTGGATAACACAAAACATACAAAAAAGAACTTGCTTATCTCCAGGGAGCCAGGGCAACCCAAACTGGCAGCATGACTGAGAACAGCATTACCCACAAACTATCATAAACAGTCATTTATTTTCATTGATGAAAGTCAAGATTACATTTCTTGGTTTGAAGAAACTTCCTTCTCCCTGACAGTACAGAATAAAGGCAGACATTGCTTGGAGCTTGGTCATATAGGCAGGGGAGTGTGTGTGGGGGGGGTGTTTGTGGGGGAGGAGGGTGGCAGTTGTA